TGATGAAATCTTCCGCAGGTGACTTGAGGAAACTTCGTATGAAGCTTTGAGGAAGCTCCGTCAGATTGTCCGAGTTTGTATGATCTTTGCCATGCTCGCAGCTCGGGAGAAAAATTTAAAAATTCTCACCTTTACAGTTCCATCTCGTTTCAATAGTATAGAATCACTCTTGATATCCCTGCAAGTGAATCGAATACTTGCATGACCCTTGTATGCGTACAAAATAACGATACAGGTATAATCTTACCTATGAATAACTCGACGAGCATGAAGAAATTCCAGAGCTCTAAGTACTTGCAAAGAAACAGTGGCAATCTGAGGCTCAGTCATCCTAAAAAGGCCAACTTTTGATGTCGAAAAAAAAAAAAACGCAGCAATTCTATGCCATAATTTTGAAAATTTCTACAATGCTGAAAAATTGCTATGATGGTGGGTTGTTGGAAGTATTGGTCACAAAAATCCCATCCGCTTTTTCATTGAAGCGTTGTTGTAGAGATGTCGTGAGTTCAGCATGTCAAAGTTCGTTTTAAACGCCCCTGAGATGGAAGGGAGAAGGAAGCGGGGTCACATTAGCAGCAACTATCATGTTTCTTTGATATTATAATCTGTTTCAATGGTGAGACACCCTTGCTTTCAAGAGCTATTGCTTAACTTGCTCAATTTGCACTCAATCTAATTATTCAATACTAATATACTATAATATATAATTCAATATAATATACTCTAATCTAATTATGCAATTCATACCTGTCATATAGTAACTTAGTAAGTTTTAACTATATAAAAAGCTCTACTCAATCACAATCTCCACATTATTCGCTTGAACAAATTTTAACTGTGCAAGTGTTTTCATCATGCCATATTTGGTCTTTCAACGAGTGGCATTTGGCACCGGTGGCATGATGTAATAACACATAATAGAACTCTATGCATTCTATTCATTTGTATTTATTATACAGTAGGCGGTTGAGATCGTTTACGTAACTGTTCATCAACTTACCTTGTTTGCGTGACGATATCGGTTAAGGATCCTCCTTCCATAAATTCCATAACCACCCATAATTCATC